TAGAAATAGTTAATCAGAATGTAAATGTAAATGTATTAACTCATCGATTCTTAGCAAGTGCATAAAGCTCAAATTATTTTCATAATCCATCAGTTGCATAAAAATGCTTTTCATTCATAACATGAAATAGATTTTAAAAATGCAATTTTTTTTAAAAAAAGTCAACTTTCGATCAACCGAAAGTCAACTTTTGGTCAACCGAAAATGCAAACTTCGTTTGACCGAAAATGCAGAATTGGTCAACCGAAATTCCAACGGTTTGATTTCCCAATGGCTATAACACTTTCGGTCAACCGAAAGTGACTGGTTGAGCCTCCTTTACTCTATAAATATTCATCTCTTCTTGCATTCAATTTCAACAATTTACAAGAGATATTTAGAAAGCTTGTTTATTGAAAATCATTGAGTTTACTTGATTCTACATTCTACTTCATTTATTACAAAGTGTTTCTTGTTCATTCAAACTCATTTCATCTTATTTATCAAGAACTCTATTTCGTAAAGAACTTTTCACTAACTTATCTATTCTTCATCATTGGTAGAAGTTTTCTTTGTCAACACTTTGATTTAAGTGTAAATCTCTCTTCATACTTAACTTGCATTATTTGTTAAGAGAGATTATTGATTTGAAAACTTTGATACAAAAATACAAACTATTTTATTATCAATTATTCATCAAAGTGTTCATCATAAACACTTGGTTTATTAATTGCTATCTATCGGAATGTTATCGTAACTCTCTAAATACTTAAGTTGATTATATCATTTTTTAAGAGAGTTCCTTCTATTGTAAAACCTTCATTTATACTTTAGTGGTTTCGAGAGCCTTATGAAAATTCGATTGTTGTTAAGGATAAGTGTTCCTTGTTGAAAGTCACTTAAGGATATGTGCTCTTCATTGTAAGTCACATGAGAATAAGTACTCCTTGTTGTAAGTCACTTAAGGATCGATACTCTTGTTTGTAAGTTACCATTATAGTGCATTTGGCTTTGCTCGTGATGGAGAGCTTGGTAACGGGAACGTAGAACACATTGTGTATTGAATCCCATTAAATTAGTTTGTTATATTTACATTACCGTACTTTACTTTACATTGCCATTT